GGCTCACTGCAGCCTCGATCTCCCCGGGCTCAGGTGATCTTCCCTCCTCAGCCTCCCAGGTAGTTAGGACTAGGACTACGGGTGTGCGCCACCACACCCACCTAACTTTTTTGTACTTTTTGTAGACTCAGTCTTGCTGTGTTGGCCAGGCTGGTCTCCTACTCCTGGGCTCAAGCGATCCGCCTGCCTCAGCCTCCCGAAGTGCTGGGGTCACAGGCGTGAACCCCTGTGCCTGGCCTGAGTGTTTCCATTAGATGTGATGAAGAGTGGAGAATCGTGGGCTGTGGTGGGACCAGGGGGCACGAGCGAAGTGTAGAGAAGTGAGGAAAGAGCAAGGCCTGTCGGGGCTCCTGTCTGTCCCCAGTGCTCGGAGGGGAGGGTGCCCCTTTCCTCTGGGTGTGGAGTCTGGTGACCTGCTTCAGGGAACAATCACAGACAGAGTCCTTCCTGCACCTACTGTTTCTTGGATTCTTTCCACTTAAAATATTCAACATGCGAAGCTGCCACATTTTGGGGTAGCGTGCCCTGAATCCCATCATTGGCTACAAGGTTGGGGGCCCCATATGAGGCACACTTGGCCCCTGAGACAGTGACAGTATGTATTTTGCGGAGGCCACTGCTTCAAAGGCCCTAAGGTGTGGATTCCTGGGAAACCCAAACAGGCCGTCTCCAAGGCTCGAGTGGAATTGATTCCTGACAGTGCCAAGCCCACAGTGTCTGTAGGAGTAAATGAAGAAAGTGTTTTTACAGTAAGTCTTCTTGGACAGAATTCTGAGGCAGAGAGAGAATGAGTGAATCAGATGTTGGATGTTCCCTCTAAGGTGTCTGTTTAAAAAATCAGGGAAAAAACCCAGCAGCACAGTCGTCGCCTGTCCCCAGCTCTGAGGATCAGCGCCTGTGAGGGCCACGAGTCCACCCTCCTAGCTCTGTAGACAAGGAGACTGTGGTCCAGAGAGATGGAGATCCCACAGACAGCGGCCCACCTGGAGCACCCCCTCCCTGCCTGACTTTATATTCCCAGGATGCGTCCATCAGGGTCTCAGTAAAAAAAAAGAGGGCACATTCCAACTGGGTAATAGGAAGAGGATGTTAATGAAGCATTTCTTTACAGTGGTGTAGGCAGCATATTGGGGTTCTGTGAGGAGCAGGTGGCACCCCGGGTGCCTCGGTGCTGGTGCGACAAAGCCTTAGCACCCTCCCTACCTCCCTCCCTCCCTCGCGATCAGGCCCCTGATAAAAGCAGCGAACTCTGCTCCAGGCCAGGCCAGCATAAAGGCCCCAAGAGAGGAGCCAACAACACCCCATCCTCCCTCTCACCCTCCCTCAGGCTCCCGCTGGGGCTCCCACTGGCCAAACCCAAAGAGAAGCCAGAAGGCAAAGAGCCCCAGGGTACCCGTAGGGGCTCCCGAGGCAGGAGTCCCAGAGGAGAAGCCAGGAGGTGACCTGGAGCAGGACACAGCAGCTCCCTGACAGGGATCCTCACCCAGGGCACGCCTCTAGAGCAGATGGAGAAAACAACTCGGTCGACTTCAGACTCCCAAATTCTCCCAGTTCCTTAACCTGCCTGCCCGCTGGACTTCAGGAGAAAGTTGAGATGAAAAGCTCTCAACTTTGTTTTGAAAATGAAAGCAATGTTTACAGCCACTAGCAAGCAATTAGGATCCAGCTGGGCTGATGTGGCCAGATCTGGGGACACCCAGCCAGGTAGATGCACAACAGACCCATTAACGGAGGTCAGCGAGGAAACGCTGGACACGTCCCCCATGACCAAGCTGTGAGGACCTGAGTTATCTGTGCGGCAGTCACCGTCATGCAGAAATGGAAGCCGTACATGCAGGCTGAGGCCTCTCAGCTGGACATTTCAGCCTGAGTGAGCCCCAGGAGGACAGGGGAGTTTAGTCTTCATTCTTCTCTTCTGAATCACCAGCACGTGATAGACCATCAATAATTTGTTAAATGCTTTTAAAAATGAATGCTTTAGGCCGGGTGCGGTGGCTCAAGCCTGTAATCCCAGCACTTTGGGAGGCCGAGACGGGCGGATCACAAGGTCAGGAGATCGAGACCATCCTGGCTAACACGGTG